CACACACACACACACACACACACACACACTCTCTCTCTCTCTCCCCCCCCCCCATATACTGTCCAGGACTGTATGATACTGTCTTTTCTTATTGCTCCTGGCTGTCTCTGGGAACTCTCCCACTGCCTGTGTCCATCTCTGTTCTTTGACCTTGTTCTTCTTTGCCTGGAGATACTAAAGAGCAGTGTCTATGAACACTTAATCTACAGCCTGCTTTCATGGTCCTGGCTCTACTATCCCTTCACATAGGACCCTAAGTAAGCCTCCTCTGTCTTTTCCAGGCAGGCCTCAGTTTCCTTATCTGTAGGCATATGCCTTATGAGGCTGACAGGGGAATAGCAGATTCAGTCATAACGTGCAGAATCATCCTTCAGAATTCTTGGAGGATTAGTTCTAAACTTCTTGTGTGCCATTAGCATATAACCTATGCACATCTACCTATAAACTAATCTCAGTTACTTATAATGCCTAATGCAACATAAATGCTGTTATTGTATATTGTCTAGGAAATAATGATGAAAAAAACTTTCTGGCATTTTTTCTCAAGTATTTTCTATACATGATTGGTTGAGTTTACACATTTAGAACCTGCAGATATGAAGGGCTGACTATACTTGGACATAAAATGCCCTTTCCCTTCCTCATGCTGGACCAAGGGGCAGGCCTGGTCCCTTTGGCTGTAGATCTAGGTAAGGGTTTCCTACTTTTCCTTTCTTGTTTTTTTCTTTTCCCAGACTGGTAGGGTTTCAAGTATTACCCTATGTTTCATATACATTTCAGACTTGGATTTCCCACTGCTGCCATTCTTTCTTCCATGTCCAGCTATGGCTCCCACATCTTCCTTAACTCCAGTGTCCACATCTTCAGTACACTGTGACTTCCATTCTAGCTCCACATGGGAAACAGAAGGCAGTCTTACTCAGCTCTTGCTTTCCCTCCTCTTGTATTGCATTAATTCTATAGCCACAGAGAAAGCCACAGCTGTTCTCCCTTTTACTCTTTGACATCCACCACTGTGCCTTCCCCATTAGCACTGCCTTTTATAGTATCCACCAACTTGCTCCTGAACAGAAAAGGAACCGTGAGCCTTCACTTACAAGACGATATCCCACCCCTGCTCTCCACTCTGTTCTGTTCACTGCTCCAGTCCCCAGCTCTGCTTACCAGCAACATTTAACTGCTGTAGGTCTGTGCACCACAGTTTCCTTGCTTCATTGTGCCTATACCCCTCTTAATTCTTGTTCACTTGGAAAACACAACTTTCTCTTTAAACTGAGTTCAAGGCTCATGTACCAGTGGAAAATATTTCCAAGTTGTAGACATTCTACTAGAATGTAGTAGGCCTTACTTTTCTGGTGGTCCTTCCAGGAAGCTCTTGGCTACCACCTCTCTTGAGAACAAGCAGTAGAGGAATTAACTGCATGCACCAAGGCATGACCAACACTTTGGACCCTTGAAATATGATCAAATTTATCTGTATGTACACACACACACACTCACTCTCTCTCTCTCTCTCTCTCTCTGCGCCCTGGGAAAACAAAATGTATACAGCATATCCCTTTCCTCTGAGAATTGATAGAAAGCATGGCAGGAAAAATAATCTGTGAAATATTTCTACCTAGAAAGGACTTGTCAAAAGCATTATGGGAAGGAGGGCCTGTCAAACTGCTTGAGTAAGACATAAATATGATGACGTAAGCTTGAGGAAGCTTGAGAGAACATTCATATATGGCATTGTGGAAAAGAAGTCTTAATGAGTTGGTAAAGGGGAGATTTCTTCTTTATCTATGGAAAATGAAGCTCATCAGAGGTTTTTGTTGTTGGTTTTTGTTTTGTTTTTAAAAGAAAGACATCAACAAAGTGAAGTGAGGCTGAGCTAAACTGATTTATGGAATTACTTCTGTGTTTTCTATGGAACCTGTTATCTCAGTCATATTGTGCATCCTTTTTGGAAATCTTAAATAGTCAAGAATTTTCTGAAGAAAACTATAGTGTTCTTAAATGAGTTATGGTAAGTGCCTTGGTAAAGTCATTAAAAAACAAAAACAGTATCTTGTCAGATTGGAAGCATGGCTCAAGTGGCAGAGTGCTAGCTGATTCATCGTGAGGCTCCGAATTCAGATTCTGGTACTAGCAAAAAATGTATTTTTAAAGAGTAACCATATCCTTTTTCCATAATATATTTGAGACAGAAGTAAATCAAATGAATTCCTAAGAGTAGCTTTCTTTATAATAATGGAAATAGTGATAATCAGATTTATTTCCTTTCATAATAAAGCATTTAGCAAATAATGTAGCGTAGTCCTCAAGACATTTTACAAATGTTAACTGCATGCAAGAGAGTTTATTCTTGAAGCATTTACAGGTGGTTGAAATACTGTATTTTATAATGACCTTCCCAATATATTTGGATGATTGCATATTCAGATATGAATAAAAGTCTGGATCACTTACATAATGGGTAACATTTTATTTTCCTATTGCCTTGAAGTTAACTTGTTTCAATTGAGTAATTTACTCTCTTCTACTTACAATGGTAAGCCTAATGTTTGTGTCAGTAGATATGCATACTTTCTATTGATCCTAGTTGAAAAAACTGCATCTGGAGACAGAGTTACAACCCGCTATGACCTGTTCTTTATTCTAGATAACTAGGGTAGAAAACTTTAGTCATTGAGATTTCAGCCGTGGTTTAAGACTTTCTCTGTTGAAGAAGTATAACAAAGAAGTATAACAAGAAGTGTTAACTTCCAGACCTTAGATGCAAGTAAAATTGTGCTAATTTCAGGATCTGAATAGCCTTTCTAAAGTAGGTTTGATACTCTACCCTCAAGCCTGATTTGATCAGCCTGTATTTTTTTTTGGAGTGACTACAGAGGTATTTTTTTCGCTCTTGGATATTTTCTTCAGTTTTTTCCATTGTATTTTTATGTATAAGAGGGAGTGACCTGTTTATCACCTACTTTTTTATATCATGATTGAATCACCCAGAGAGACTCACAGTCTTTTCCTTTGAGTGTCAGAACTAGCTTGGATTATCATAGAATATCATGATCAGTCATGTTTCATAGAAGGGCTTAGAGAGTTGTATATGATGGTGGTAAAATTGATGCTTATTTTTCAGCCAATTTTGAGCTTGTCCAACTGCAAGAAAAACTGAAGGAGACAGAGGAAGCCATGGAAAAATTAATCAACAGAGTGGGACCTAATGGTGAGAGGTATGTTTCTCTAACAGAACTCAGATGATTCCTATTTAGAGAATCAATTAAAATTTTAACTTTCATTGATAGACTACTTATTTTTATTTTATATAATTTTCAACTTATTATATAGCCTTTCTTAATTAATACTTCCCTTTTCAAACTGTCAAGAAATCTATTTTCAAGAGTTTGGTGTGGCTAGCTGTGGTGACACAAAGCAGAGGCAGGAAAATTGTGAGTTCAAGACCAGACTGAACTACATATATGGCCATTCTGTGCTAGCAGTTAACCAAAACACAAATGTTTAATGCAATCATACTTGTTCTTTTATTTTAAATTGTACATTTGTATTCTCTTATATGAACCTAGACCTTAAGTAAACAAGCATGAATGTAATTGTGGTACTGTTTGAACAGATGAATGGGAAAGGGAAAGAGAATGATGAGGGTGAATAATACCAACGCACTTTGTATGTGTGAAAATAGCATTAAGAAATGTTTAAAAAAAATAGAAAGGAGATATAGGGAAATAGAGCAATAGAGGGGGTTAACCTGACCAAAATATAATACATGCATATGTGAAATACCATGATATAACCCATTTGTACAATTAACATGTATTAATAAAAATAGAATTATACATTTTTTAGACAACTGGGAAACAAGGTATCAACATGCAGCTTTTTTCAAGTAAATTACTTCTTCTCACAATAATTCACACCACACTAAAGTTTGATTAGCACTGAGTTAAACATGGAAAGTAAGTAAGTAGAGTGAAACTAGGAGGGAGGGGCCAAGATGGCAATGGAACAGTAGGGAAATACCACAGCTCTCTCCAACTAAATAGAGAGTTTGGGTTTCAACGCTCCATTGCTCCATTTCTCCAAGAGACAGACGACAACAACAAAAAGGCGATTACTCAGAGAGAGACAGGAAGTGAAAAAAGAAAAGGGAAAAACTTCGGAACCTGCACAAAGATGGTAAATTGGGAAGATCCTTCCTCCACTCCATGCTGGCAGCAGGGCTCCACGCAGAGCTGGGAACCACAAAGTCACAAACGTTCCAAGGCTCCCAGAAGACTCTAAGAGCCAGTGCCAACCCGGGGCAGCCGTGAACAACCCCAGACTTGGGCCCGGCGCCTCTCTGCACTGGTCCGCAAGAACAGCCCAACCTAGCCTGGGGCAGCAATGAATGACCCCAGTCTTGGGCCCAGCGCCTCTCTGCACTGGTCTGTGGGAACAGCCCAGCCCAGTCCTGTGCGTTGAGGTATGACTCAGGGGGCGGTGCTTCTCTACACAGGTCTGTGTGAGCTGCTTAGCCTGGGGCCGCAGCCGTGGTCGCACTGGTGTGGGTGGCAAATGACTCCAGCCTCCCAGCAGAGCGTGGTGCCTCTCTGCACCTGCCCTTGTAAGCAGCCCGGGGCAGCAATGGTGGCAAAGGACCCCAGACTCAAAGGCACAGTGCCTCTACACCAGCCTCCATAAGCAGCGCAGCGTAGTCCATCCTGGAGCAGTGGGGGTGGCGGTAGTGACCTCAGCGGTGGCAACAAAGGACCCCAGACTTGTGGTGTGGTGCAGCGCCTCTGCACGAGCCCATATAAGCAGCCCAGCCCAGGCCAGGATCACAGCGGTGGCCATGGTGGCAGCAGTAGTAGAAGGACCCCAGATTCACAGCGCGGCCCTGGGCGGGCCCATGGGGTCACTGGTGAGGAACCCCAGACCCCACAGCACCAACTGGGACAGCATAAACAGTGGCAAAGGCTGTGAAACACAGACCCAGAATGCACCACCACCCAGCATAGCCCACAATCATCTCAACAAATGCAGAACATGGTAGTGACCAGCAACGTACAGCACACAAAAACAGCAATCTGCCACAGCACCACTGGACAGCTCCCAAACCGGTACCCGGATAAATGAGTACCCCACAGGGGACACCCCCCACCTAATTTCCCTCCCATCACAGGATACCAGCACTGTTGGTAACCCCCTAGAATGTTACTTACATACCCCCCCCCACACACACACCTAGGCTACAGGTCCTAAGGAAGCTGAGAGCTGTGCTAGTGCACCAGCAACCAGCAGGCACTCCGGCCAGGCTTGACCAAGAGCGCTCCTTGGAGGGAATGCAAGCAGTCTAGGCTGCTGGTCCTTGACTAAAGGCAGGAACTTCTTAGTATATCCAGTAGGCAGTTGAAAGAACCCTACCTGTGTCTCAGGCTGGAACCCTAGCTATCTTAACTGCCTGACCCTGACTGGTCAGGATCTGAGTTCACATCCCAGCAGAGGATGGAGTATGTCTGCTCCCACAATCTAACAAGAGTAAGCACTACAAGGGTCAGACCAGCAGCTGGAAAGCTGCCCCCTCCCACAACAGAACCTCAGACCAGGTAAAGTACTCTCAACCAGCCCAATGCCAAGAGCAAGCTACATCAATTGATCCAGGAACAAATCTAGAACCAAACAAAGGTAGCCACCTAGTGACCAAAACAATCAGAGCCTGGAATTGGTCTCCAACAATCCCTGAATCCTCATGTGAAAATCACAGTGAAAAATACATCAATGGCCAAGAACATAAACCAGACTCAAAGGCCAGCAACCACCCAGGGGAGAATGCCAGCGGAAGCAAAAAAGAAATGGAAGACAAATGCTACATCCAAGAGATGATAGAGGTAATGACTCAAGAATTAAAATGAGAAATAGATCAGAAATTTAAAGAACAAAGGAATGAGCTATCAAAAGAGATCCAGGCCTTCAAACAAGAAATGCACTCAAAAATAGATACAGTACACACCTTGCCTAAAAGATGAGATTAATACTCTAAGGAACAACATAGAAATTATAAATGGTTCAATTTCCTCCATGCAAAATTCAATTTCCTCCATGTAAACCACAATGGAAGCCACAGTTAATAGAGTGAATGAAATGGAAAAAAGAATATCAGATACTGAAGACAAAATGCAAGCACTGGAAAAGTTACAGATATAGAAAAAACACCCAAAATATGCCAAAGGGAAGTCCAAGAACAAGCTGACTGTGCCAAGAAATTTAACTTTCGTATTATTGGGGTAGACGAAGAGGGGAATACCAGAATAAAGGAATACAAATCATCATTGAAAATTTCCCGTCTTTTTTTTGGGGGGGGGGGTCGGTCGTGGGGCTTGAATCTCCAGTCTTAAAAGAGAAAATCTTACCTATGAAACAGAGGCCTACAGAACACCTAACAAGCAAGATCCCAAGAGGAACACTGATAGGTACATTATAGTAAAAATGCTAGATTTTAGCAATAAACAATCTTGCACACAGCAAAAGCAAAGGTGGAGCTATACTACAATGGAAAAAAAAATAGAATCATTACAGATCTCTTCACACAGACTCTGAATGCAAGGAAAGCCTGGGAACGTACCATCCAAGCCCTGAGAACCAATAACTGGCAGCCCAGACTGGTATATCCAGTGAAGCTAGCATTCACATTTGATGAAGAAACTAAAATTTTTAATAGTACAGAAAAACTAAATGAATTCATAAACAATAAGCCAGCATTACAAAGAATATTAAGAGAGGGATTACAATCTAAAGAAAATAAGAACAGGGATCCAGATAGATATCATTAGGAGATCAACTTAGTAAGCACAGGAGGAAAGTAAAGAAGAAAAACTTAGGAAAGTAGGAAAATGACAGGAAATATAATATACCTCTCTATAATAGCTATAAATATTAATGGACTCAATTCACCAATGAAAAGAAAAAGAACTGCAGATTGGATCAGGAAACAAGATCCATCAATTTTCTGTCTTCAAGAGACCCACCTCATAGCCAAAGATAAAAGCAAACTCCGAGTGAAAGGATGGAGGAAGATCTACCATGCAAATGCCCCCAGCAAGAAGGCAGGAGTTGCCATTCTAATATCTGATAAAATAAACTTTCCATTAAAATCACTATGAAAAGACAAAGAAGGTTACTACATATTAATACAGGGAACAGTCCAAAAAGAGGATATCATTGTCAATGTATATGCCCCAAACATCGGTGCACCCAAATATGTTAAACAAATACTCTCAGCCTTACAGGAAAAGATGGATCCAAATGCAGTAATACTAGGAGACTTAAGTGCTCCACTCTCACCAAAGGACAGGTCTATCAACTTAAGAATTGGCAAAGACATCTCTGAATTAAATAATGCAATATCGCAAAGCAGACTTAACTGACATATACTGAATTTTCCACCCAACAACAGCCCAGTACACATTCTTCTCTTCAGTCCCTGGAACTTTTTCTAAAATAGGTCATATCTTAGTTCATACAAGGAATTTAAGCAAATACAAGAGGATCGACATAATCCCTGTATTCTATCTGACCATAGTGTAATCAAACTAGTTCTCAATAACAAGGCATACAATAGGAAAAACTCAAACACATGGAAATTAAACAGCACACTGCTGAGCAACACATGGGTCACAGAAGAAATTAAAGAAGAAATTAAAAAGTTTCTACAATTCAATGAAAATGAAGACACATCACAAAGAAACCTATGGGACACAGGGGAAAAAATAGGAATTAAGACAATTAAAGCCTCAGATGACAGACCAACAGCCAATATTTACTTAATGGGGAAAAACTACAACCAATTCCCCTAAAAACAGGAACAAGGCAAGGATGCCCACTCTGTCCACTCCTTTACAATATAGTTCTGGAATCCTTAGCTAGAGAAATAAGACAGGAAAAAGATATTAAAGGGATCTACCTAGGGGAGGAAGAAATTAAACTATCTCTTTTTACAGATGATATGATTTTATATCTTAACAATCCCAAAAGCTCTATCCCCAAACTCTTAGAGCTTATAAACCACTTTGGCAAAGTAGCAGGATACAAAATTAACCCACAAAAATCAGTCACCTTTCTATACACCAACAATGTACAACAAGCAGGAAGGGAAATCAAGGAAACAACCCAATTCACAATAACAACAACAACAAAAAAAAAACAACCTAGGAATTAATCTAATCAAAGATGTAAAGGT